CTATAATTCTGGTGTTTATATGTTTTGACATTGTCTCTGTAAATACAAATATGAGCCATCTAAGGATTGACCAATCAGATGCCTTCATTTGTGGGGGAAATTCCAGCTATCCAACCAACATAGCAATACGTCTACCCCTTGTTACAGCGCAAAGCTAACGTTGCCCATATAAGGATATTGACTCTAGCTATAGATTATTTTCAAATTGGCTTCTTCCGCGTTAAGACTAACACTTATATACAGTCTATGCATACACACACACACACACACACACACATACACACATTCACACCACACATACAGCTCAACCCCACACACACACACGCACACACACACACACGCTCAAACCAAACCCTCCCTGCAGATTACTGTTCTTATCGTTGTTATTTTTCTAATCAAACAATGCACCTTAAATTGCAGCTTTTTTGTTAATGTCGATTGTGTTTTGAAACCTGTGTGAGCTGAAAATGACTTTTTAAACCATAAAATGTGAGTTAATAGTTGCATATGTACTTTAGTCAGTCGTCATGTCTGTTTAAATAGAGATAAAGGTAATTGATGAAAATAGAGGAGCAGGTTGTGTTTTAAAAGACAATAATAACAGTTGGTGCATTTGGTCAAACAATAATTTAAAAAGATGTCTTACTTTGAGTTAAATGTTTAATTAGAGAGTCAAAATAAGTAAAAGAGTAAAAAGTGTCTGTTTTGTTTCTGTTTTGTGGTAATAGTAGGTAATAACAGAGCAGGGAGAGACGTTAGCTAAAATGCTAAATGCTAGTGGTTGTGGGGTGTGTGTGTATGTAGCTCTAAACTGTAAGAATGTGCTTATGTTAAAATGAACTGTTTTAAACTAAATCCAATGAACAGAGAGCAAGAGTCCGTCCCGCAGCCGCAGACGCTGACCCCAACCTCCCTCAGAGCGGACCATTGCTTTCTTTTCATTGCTGTTCTGTTTGTATCCAGCTCCTGTAACGTTTGGATGTAATTACTACTGTCTTTTCATCTCTAAATTAAAGGCAACATTGATAACGAGCGCCTGGCCATCGCCAGACAGCGAATCCCCTATCGGCTCGGTCGAGTAGTTGACGATTGGCTACTCGACAAAGGTAAAAACCCTGATTAAAATTCCTTAAAATTTTCAGCTTAAAATAGGATTTGCAGGCAGTTTATTAGTATATTGTGCACCATCAACTAACTACCTAAAAACTTAAATCATAACTAAGTATTTAAAATGCAGCTGTAGTGTGTAATACTGTGTAAACTGTAGTGCCTGTGAACGTATTGTTGATAATGTCAGGTTAAAGGGACGATGGAGATAATAAATGTGAATAAATCAGAAAAATAGATTCACTGATAAAAGATGCTTTATTAAGACCGTCATAATTGTGCTTACCATCAAATTGTAAACAATAAAGCATTGCCTAAAACATTGTAATCAAAGTAAAATATATTGTGTAAATCAGAGTAAATTTGAAATAGAGCTTGTTTTTTTAATTGAGCTAAAAATGTAACCATAAAAAAAGCAGTCTTTAAACTTCAGCGTTAAATTAGCCTCTAGTCCCTTTAACACAATGCTAGCTTAAACCTGTGCATGTTTCATAGGGCTGTACCACTCAGATCTCTGTCTATGCTTGTCCACAAACTCCATAACAAACTGTCGGCCATTTTGAACTCTCAACTCGAGCTTTCTGCCGCTTTCACCCATCTCTCCTCTTTCTCCTCTTTGTCTTCCTCCTTCACGCTTGTAATGTCTTCTCTTGAGCTAAATGTATTTCCTGTCTTTTTCAATTTCCTCTTACTATTTCCACGGTTCTGCCCATGCTTGATCTATTCCATCCTCTTACCATGGCTTGAATTGTGTCAAAACGTACGAAGACCTGTTTTTGATTGCGCATACTTTTTCTTGCGTGTTTGTCCTTCCCTCTCTCTCTCTTTCTTTCTTCCCATTGGCCGGTTTTTGCGTTTAGGTCGTCAGCTGACTATTTTCAACAGCCAGACGACAGTGCGTGTGGGCGGGGCTGACCGCGGTTCGGCTATGTTCCAAGGGCAGCTGTCCGGTCTGTATTACAACGGGTTAAGGATTCTCAACATGGCGGCCGAGGGACACCCGCACATACGCGTGGACGGTAGCGCGCGGCTGGTGGGAGACATGCCGTCCTCCTCCATGACTCCGCAGTCCAGCGCCGCCGCCGGAGGGAACCGCTCCGACTCCGCCCCCTCCATCAGTGACATCACCACCACCACGGCAACCAACAGGAAGCAGGGCGGCACGCAACAGGTCAGTGCAGCTTTTTGAATGAGTTAGAATAAGTTATAAAGCTGGATTTAACAATTTTTAGTATGTATTTATTGTATGTATGTATTTACTGTATTTGTTTGTATGGATCAGCGTCGAACTCATTTTGGTCAGGGGCCGAGCAACATGAAAATAGGAGCTGGTTTGGGCCAAAAGAATAAAGTGTAATTGTTGTATGAAAGCATTGATGTGTCTATATTTTGGGTTTAACCAAAACTGGACCAACTATAAAGTTAAATGAAGTTTTATAATCTTCCAATGATTTGTTGGGTTAAAATTGTATAATAAATTAACGTTTACGTGGTAGTCCATTACCAACAATGCTGCAAGTTTATATTGATAACTAAAAGTCCCATTAGTTGCTACTTAAAATAGTCTTGCTGGCTGGATTTGGCCCACAGGCCTGAGTTTGACATGCCTGGTATGGATGGATATGTTTCTGCTGCTGGACAGCCACATTTATCCTACGAGGATCAATATAATATAATATCTATCTCTATATCTCTCTGTCTTATACTCCATTCAATTCCATTCACAGTACAAACACAACAATAATAACAAACACAATAAGAATAACAAACACATAGGAGCCATTGATCCATAAGGAGCAGGATGACCAATGTGCATGAATGTCCCAGAAAAAAGTAAAAAATCTGGAGAAGGTCCATTTTGAGTCTATAGATTGGACAGATCCAGGTCTCAGTTCACTACTTCACGCCTTTTACTGTAAATTAGGATTTATCTTCTCTAAAGTTAAAGCTATTGTTTCCAAGATGCGTCTAACATTTACGCTTGATACAGTACAAAGCTCCTCTCTATTGTCTGTTTCTGAGCTGCTGTGAATAATGAAATCCTGTGTAATTCTGCTGATACATATTTGACATACTTGACGACAATTAGACCACCTTTTCCACTAGGATTAAGGGATTAGCAGAAATTATTAACCCAAAAAGATATCGCCATGGTCTGGGGAACTTTCTCTGCATGATCTGAGAATGGTGGGTGCATTGCGAAAGTCAAGTGGTGATTGTCACTTTTACACATGAGAATCTTTACTTGTCATTGTCTAATTAAAAGCCTGACAGTTTGGCCTCCTGCAGTTATTTACTTGAAACTTGGACTAAACTTGTAGAACTTAACAAATAGACTGAAAAAGGTTGTTCCCATGTTATATATTCTCTCAACAGCTTTGGTTTCCGTGATCACTGCAACGACAAACCCACTTTTTTTATACTTAGTTTTCTTTTCTGAAATCATTTTAGGGCGGGAAAAGGGAAAAACTGGCTATTTGCTAACTTGATCTGTGGGGCCTTAGGTTTTCTCTCACAGGTGCAAAGCGATAGACCGGCCCCTTTTCTTGTGCTCAGGGCTGGACTGGGACAAAAAAACGGCCCGGGCATTTTTGCCTTCTTGGCTCAAAAGGTTCAAAGATCACTAAATCTGTTTGATTTGTTCAGAACGTTATACTTTTGGGCACAAACATGAACTTTTGATGCAATGGAAAATGTAGGTACCTGAGCTTTAATTTAAGTCGCGCTTCAAGAGGAGAGGGGAGACGGGGACGGTCTCCTGCAGCTGTGGATTTATTGGGTCCACAGATTACGCATGGTCCTGTGCGCGTTTATGGTCTTGGGTATATGGTCATGTTGCGGCTACGTGCCGCAACATGACCAACACGTCGCTGAGGTGGCGGAATACCGTTTGAGTACATACAACAACTGCCCGCGGACACGCGCGCCCCCCTCAAACAATTCTCAATGGATTTACACTTTTCATGTTTTTTGTATGAGGCAGACACGCCGGCCCAAATATCGGCATCGGGCCTTCTGGCATTGCCCGGTACGCCCGATGGCCAGTCCAGCCCTGCTTGTGCTACAATGTTTACGATCAAAATTTCCAAATGTTTTTATTTACAGACCATGAGTGTAACAAAGCAGCTCCAAACTTTGACATTTGTGGTCTGTAAATAACACAGCTGTGCATATTTTTTTATCTTTTTTTTCATATTTTTCCAGTCCAATTGGGATGAATGAAGTTGAATGAAGATCTTTATCACGTATACATACTCAAACAAATGACAGGAGTCTGTGTTTACAAAATTTCACATAAACTTCCTTATTACTGCGAGTTTAAAAAGCTCTGTCCTTGAACCTTGAGATTTCCGGTCTAAATTTGGAAGATGGAAAACTTCCCCCAAATCACATGCAAAATCTCTGTCCGGGTTCATATTAAACTGCTGCACCACAGAAACTAAAGAATTGCACTTGTGTTAGGACCCAAATGAACCGAAAGGGGATAAAAGACACATTCTTGTTATAGCCGTTCACTGTTGCAACAACAGTGCAATCCAAAAATAAATGTTTTCTTTAATTCTCTTTGATGTGGAACGTTTGAACTTTCGCTTCTTTTTTTAAATAAATTTAGCGTGTCGTCAAACAGCTGAACGCACTGATATGATTTGATAACAGACTTGCAGGTCCCTCCCTGACAATAACAGAGAGAATAATGTTTGGGTTAATGGACGCCTTAATAGCTTTGGTCTGATACGACGCAATAGGGACGCAGCAATAGAAACAAAGCAGGAATTAGGGCAGGGGATATTATTACATGTAGCAGAGAGAAGGACGGGAATGGTTCCTGAAGGGATAGAGAAGGAAAGTTCCTCTATTGCCAGTCATATAACAGTTTGATTTAAGAAAAGTGAATGTGTGTGAGTGTGATTGAGGGATACAGGTAGAAACAGGCTGTCACACGGTTAGACTGCCCCAGGGCAAGTCAGACGAAAGACTCCATCTCGCCGAAATACATGACATTTTTTAGATTACCTATTCATGGAAGGAACAAGGAAGATTTGCATAAACGCAGAACTTTGTAACCAAAAATACTAACATTATTTTCATATTAACATTAGTGCATAGGCATTGATAGGTTCTGTTCCAAACTTGTGCATTCTTGATAATTTTTTTAAGGATTTTATTACCCTTAATAATACCAGGATTGTCCAAACTTTGGGGAAAAAACTTAAAAAGCTGGTGGTACCTATAACCTTCACACTACAAAGAATGGAACCATGTACTAAAATCCAAGTAACTACTGTAGTTCTCAAAACTCTGTCGCATCAGTATTTTTTGACAGACACATTAAAAATAGAGAACCACCCTTTCTCAGCCAATCAGCTCTCAGCTCAAAGAAAAAAATATGGACTCACAGGACTATTTCATACAAGTACAGGGCATTTTGCATGTACTCCCACATGTATCTTTGCAAGTTTCCTCCGGGTGCTTCGGTTGTTCCCTACCACTAAGAACATGTACAATAGTTCTTTCACAAAAAACGGGAAAGAACTAAGGCAAAACAGTATAATAACTTTTCCTCACCTCGTTGTGTGAATTGTAGCTAAAGCCGAGACCGGATCCGGACTCTAGAGGGAAATGCAGATGCTCCCTCATATATTACAAGCGGGAATCATGTCAAAACAGCAAATTAACCGGACGAATTACAATACGAGCTGCAATACTTTATTCTGGGCTAAACAAATGCGATATCCCTGCAGTAATAAAAAAAACTCAGCCTAATGCAGTTTGCGAGAATTTTATTTAGTGCTGGATTTGTACGTGTCTCCATGGAGATAGCAGCAGAACCTTTCTCTCTCTCTTTTTGCTCCCCTCTCATCAATCCAGGCTGTGCTGAGACCGAGTCCGCCATGGTGCCTCTGCCAGCTGTTTCAGGCATAAATAAAAGAGCGCAGAGGGCTGAGAGCAAAGCCTGGGGCATCAATAAAACATGCCGAGCTCTGGATTCGAGTTCTCTCTCTCACACTTCACCCTTCTGACACCTTCGCAAGACCAGACGAATATTTAAAACGGGTCTCGGATAGTGAAACGTGTAGCTCAGGGAGTGAAATGTGTTTACGATCAAACATCTCTTGCGCCGCGGTCTCGTGCGCGAGTGAAATGCAATAGTACGGTGTTTGTTTGTTTTGTCGTTGTTGATGTGAGCGAGAGGGCAGTTGGCATAAGCCCCGTCTCCACCGGCCGTACTTGGATTTACTCTACTCTACTTTACTGTACTCGGCTCAGCTCTACGCTAACGGGTTGTTTTTCCATTACACTTTAGTATCAATCAACCTCTATTTGTAGAGCGCTTTTCCTCCACAATGTAACACATGAGGCCTAAATCATAAACAAACAACAGGGCATTAAAAAAAATAGATCAAACATTAAAATTCCACAGTACCCTAGAAACCAACCCACAACAAACCAGTATCTGTGGACATTCCTTGGTAACCATGGCTTGAACCAATCTCTGTCAGTTAGAACCAAGCCCCGGCAATCCAAGATGGCGCCGTATTCAAATGAATGGTTGTGCTCAGTGGCGCTTTGTGCCGGCACGGTCGCTGACATATTAGTGGAACTCGCAAAGATCCATTGGCAAACTTGCCTGTATTTGGGCATCGTCTGGTCCTCCCGGTTCTGCGCAGTGGATTATCTCCCATGATGCGCTGCGCCAAATACGCGTGTGTGGGTCTCACGCACGTGCACAGAGGGGCTCGGCCGCGCTCTGACCAATCAGAGCTGCTCATAAGAGCGGGAGTTAGAGCGAGAGCCAGACAAGCAGAGTTTGTGGCACTAAGGAGTGGATTTAAAGAAAACCGAAGGATTTAAGAAGAAAAAAAGTTCAGGATGACAAGGGACACTAAAATCCCCACAAAATGTGATTTTTATGAAAGCTGTTGGTTCTCTGTCAGCTGAGGTTGAGCTGTTTTAATTTACATTCAGTTCTATGGGGAACATTTCTGGGTAGCCCATGTGAAATTAGTTTTGTTTAGTCTGCAGAACTGTGAGAATCCCCTGAGCACATGGGTTCTTCATCTATAAACTAGCAATACCTGATCCAGTTATTATAATAGATCCATGGTTAGAACACTTTAGAACCAGCTCGGCCTGGATTGAACCAGAGCCAAGCTGGTACTAATAAAGTAG